CCCCCCACCGCATATATATCTAGGTTTGCGTATCAAATAAACAAATTCAACACTGATAATTCAACGCAAAATTAAAAGCTTCCAACTATCAATCGGTAGGGGGAGAGATGGACCAAGTGGTTAGAGCGCGAATTTACTGACCGCAAGGTCCATGGTTCGAACCCGACCTCTGCCTCTCGACTTCCCCTGTCTCTAGGCTTGGGCAACCTGACAGTATCCCATCCCGCGTGCCTCCTTCGTGTGGCATGGCAGCTAGGCACCGAAATGGTGCTACAGCTGAACGACCTCCAACTGAAATACCTCGGTTTTCTCGAAGCTGATGCTTTCTGTCATTATTATTATTATTGCTATTATTATTGACCTAAACACTGGACGAGAACATTGTTGCTTCACCGCCGTACAACCACATCAATTTATTTGAATAAAGCCTGATAATACAAAGAAAGAAATAAGACGGGGATGGGGACCTAGGACTAGCGTACTGAAAACATTCGAGGTAGCTGCGTATTTAACAGGCAGACATATGGACTGAAACTCAGTTCATTAACGCCACTGACATCGGTTGGCCACCATATCGTTCACTGTCTCCGGGCAAGCATAAGGAGAGTCACGTGGACCTTGAAGAGCGAACAACAACCTTCTGCCATATCAAATTTTGCCCACCATCAGGTTTCTGTCACCCCGAATGGGTGTTCATCTCGGCAGGCGGTGACGGCGTGTGTAACACATGTCCCGGACACCTTAGCCTCTGATGCTGTAGGCATTTTTTGTATGAAGAACCGTCTGCATCATCAGAAACCAGTCTCTTGATCACCTCATTCCGGATTCGTTAGTTCCGACTTTAGGTGCTGTTCTGAGAAGGCGGTTTTCAAAGACCTAAAGATGTTTCATATCCTCCACGGTATCTATTCAAACAGAAAATAAAACAAACAATGGGGAGAACGGAACCCTTGTAAGGCACCACTACTTGTAGGGAAGCACTTGGAGACTTCCCCATACACTCAACACGAAAGTGTGCGAATACAAACAGCGCTTGACATTCACGAACTCCTGAAAGATTGTTCGGCTGTTACCTGTGTATGAAATCCATCGGATTCTAAGGTACCCACTCACACTTAACACTGTACCTACTAGAAAGATGTCCCACAAACACTCGGAGTTCCTTGCTTGCTTTAACACGTCGGATCCATATCACTCGGTTCTATTTCATGAACATCATGTAGCATCTGCAGTGCTACAAGATTGAGAGTTAGTTACTTTTAACATCATAGGTGATTATTCTTCTTACTTATGAGGTATCCTTGCTATCCTACAGCGTAGCGTCAGCTGTATACTTTACACCCAGTTTGCTAGTCGCTTTCATACACAACATTACTTTGGATCTCACCATAGGCTTACTCGTTCTCCAGATTCCCCTTACGTGGTCTACTCCATTTGTTTAGAGCGTTCGGTTCACCCGCGCAAAAGTGCTTGACCGGTGTTACCTCTGAGCAGTTTTTTTCGGACCACATGTCTCCCGTGTGCACTGTTGACACCAACAGCATATATGGGGTTATGGCCCCGACAAATCCCTTTGCCCATCTGTTGGGGTGCTCTTGAATTATCCCACCAATGCTTGTATGGATAATTGTGTTGACGTATCCTTTGTTTTCAGCTATGTCTCAAGCCATCGTGGATTTAATTACTTGTCTGATACCCCAAGCACATTCTCCTACTTCAAACCCGAGTGCCGAGTTGGCTTTGTGCGTCCAATCTTATACCGAGAGAGCTGGTCAAATTGGAGACCTTTCAGGAGAACTCTCTGATAAAGAGGTTCACGAGGCATTTTGTCTTTGTTGTATTGACTACTTGGAAAGAGTTTCACGGATTTCTTCAGAACTTGCTACCTCAGGCGACCTCTTGTTCAGTGTGGCTCGTGAGCAGCAGTTGAGAAAATGTTTGGAATTCCTTATTTGCCTCGGCGTGTACCCCATGCTGGATAATGGAGTCGGTTTGCCATTGAGTATGCGATTGGATTCAGTGGCCTACAACTGTCCGAATCAATCAAGATGCCCCGATCGCTGTACGAAACTTTTGAAGGTGATATGAGTACCTAAATTCAAATTTTCTGAAATTGCTAGCTAACTGACATTGCGTCTTGAAAGTGCTCACATATAAGAAACCCAATCTAGCCCTAAGTCAGTTAAAGGTCTTTTAAAAAAGTTTTCCAATTATTGGAAATGTTGTACCGTATTTAGGTCATTTATTATCATTGCTTTGGTGATACATTTAAGACAACACTTATCTAGTATCAAGATGTGCATACAATCTCTTGACCCAACCCGAGTCATGCTTTCCCTTCGGATCAAGGTGAAGTAAAGCGTCGTTGAGTCTCTAGTGTCACCCATTTCGGTTCATGGTCTAGAACTTTGTTATTCAAAGCCGCCATCCTTGTGAAGAAACTGATGGGATAACCATGGAGAGCTTGTTGGCTACTCTGGAAAATGCCATCTTTTTTGTAATGCCGAACTGATTTTTTTTTAATAAACAGACATGCGACCCAATAGACCCACGTACAATAGATCAGCTTACTTAAGTATGGAGTTTCCACCCGTTATAGCAAAATGAGAGCCCAACAGTGTTCGGTCTGATGGTGCTTTACTGAGCATTAGCTCAGTTTTTCGGTGTACTAACTCATTTCAATCAGTCCACAGTAAAAACCCTTCGGGAAAATAAAAATGTATTATGTGAGCATTTATTCACAGGTGCTCTTACGGTGTTCGTTGTAGGTCGCACGGTGCCTTATCTTTCTCCGAGAATCCAAACTAGTACAGTTGAATCGCCTTATGTCACCCGGAGTGTTTCTGGGTGATCTTATCACGTGTTTGGTTCAAATCGCTCACGGACCCGTGGGTCTGGCTCCAACTGTAGACGGGCAGCTGCTCTCAGAGCAACGTAAAGCTTCTGCTGAAGCTAGAAAACAGTTATGGAAATTACTGTGTGATCTACCGCGCCATGTTGCTATGAAAGAACTACTTATCTTACAAGGTGGTGCCACAGGTGTTGTTAAGGTAAGCCAACTTTGTCAGCTGTTCACTTTGATACGCTATTCCATAAAAAAACGTGGACACAATGGAGTTGCTATATGTATCTTAATTTGTCTCTCCATTTGTGTATCGTAGCATTTTTGTCGTTTTATCGCCCCCCACCCCCAAGAAAAATTTAGCACATCCCAGATGGATGGTTTGCTTGAAGGTCGGGCTTGCCGTTTTTTCAATCACGTCTTTTGTTTCTGGAGCAGGTGTGAGCCAAATGTCACCTCTCGTCTTATGAACGTTGAATTAGGTTTTAGGTTACTGTAATATTTTAAAGCTTGGATTTCTGCAGTGACGTGGATATTTTACTAACCAAACGAAACAAGACGGATAATAAGGTTTATTTCACCTAAATCCTTAATGCGAAGTCCTACCCGATTATTTTTCGATGACCTTGAAACACATTTTGCTACTCTTAGTGATTGTCCGCTCTAAGTTAAGCTATAAAATTACGTGTGGTGACCAAATGTAGCCTGTGCATTCGGGCTGCCGAAGTGTCCTAATGGCTACCAGCAGCAAAAGCCGCCCAAATTGACCAAAAACTTAGTACATCACTGTTAGATTTGTGAGACCCAGTCCCCCTGTTTTAATTAAACTTTGAGTGAAGTCGTAGCAGTGTTTAAGTTCATCTCATCATCATCATCAACAACAACGACAGCATCCCCCTGTTTTAAACTTTGAGTGAAGTCGTAGCAGTGTTTAAGTTCATCTCATCATCATCATCAACAACAACGACAGCATGACATCAGTCAGTGTTACCAATGCTTAACTGCCGTACAACCATGACTTATTTGAAAGCCTTATTATAAAGAAAATAAAGGGGGATGGGGGAGGGACTTAGTGCTAGCTTAACACAATCATTCCGAGGCGCCTACACCTCCAGACATTCACTCAGGCAATCTGGACAGAAACTGACAACAAGAACGCCACTGACATCGGTTGGCAGCCATATCTTGTAGTGTCTCCAACCAGGCACAGTGAAAAAACTTGCAAGTCAGGAAGTATCAGTTGGTAAAATAAAAATTCTTCTAAGTTTGCGGAGAAACATTAATGTGTAAACGATTCACCACCGCTTCACTGCCTCTGGCACAGATTTACTGAACAAACCTCAATGGCCCCCGTAGCCTACCGCTAACGAACCATCAGCCGACGAACGTTCGAGACGAATATGAGTTTCTATGCAGGTCTCGAAATTTTGTAAGGATTCTCTAAGTGTTATACTTATTCCTGAATTTAATCAAAGTTCTTCCAAGTCACATAAAATTGTACTGCGATGTTTGACTGAATGAGTTGATTAGCTCCATAAAATCATTAAAAACAAAAAAGGCTATCAAACCTTGGATACAAGAATTTTGTCTCCTCTATATCCGTTCCGAAACAATATATGCAGTCTTCCTCTATAGTACGTGCGTGTTGTGTAAATACTGTAAGACAGGACCCCTTGCCTAGTTATCAAATGTGCAAAGCTGCGAAGTACATCTTAAAATGGGCCAGTTTAGAGCACCTTTCTATATAAAACAGCTTAATATGCCCGGCGCAACAGGGATGCCTATTAGAACGTTTTTGCGTGGCAAAGATGCTCGTATTCATGAAGATCTTAACCCAAGCCAAAGACGAAGGATCTATGATGGCGCCAAATTTGTTGATTGCCAAAATGCATTTAGTCGCGTCACCCACATTGCACTGCTCAGAAAATAGTCCTAAAGGTTTCAAGTTGAAATGCTATGCCAGAATGAGACCATTCTAACAAGCAAGACATTCTGAGTGAAATTTAGCTTAACCTACTCTTCTTCTGTAACGGTCCCCGTTGAATTTCCTCAAGATTGTCATTGGAGGTTCTCAGTATCCCATCATACGACAACCCTCTTTTGCTGTCCACGTTGAGTAGTCCTCAGATTGGCTTTCACTTTCATGCTTATGTTTCATGGTCAACCAGTAATTTTTAAGTTTCAACACCTTTGTCTTTCTAATGGATTCTGACGCCGAAAAGCACTAGATAGGCACCTTTCTGCGAGTGGCCTCCCGGCGAAGCCTCGGTGGCCGCCTTTGTCGTGCAAAGCGAGACAAGCCATCAGGAGGATAGATACCGAAATGATTTGTGTATCTGGCTCTCTTCAAAAGTCTCCTTTGAACTCGACCATGAATGATTGGCCCGGAAGACGTTTGTCCCTCTCCAGATGATATGCCCTACATCCCTCCGCTATATACTTAACGGGGTACATGTAGGCTACTTCTTAAACACCCCAACAAGGACGCAATAAATACGCAACTTTCATGGAGCATATCCAGCAAGCTGCTACGAACATGGTTACTGGTTTTGAATCCATTGGCTGTGGAACGCGCCTAGAGATGCCTAAACTCTTTCCTCTAGACTGTCGTGGCCTTCAAGGGGACACAATAATTCCTTACACCTTAGTTGAACAAGATTTTCTGGGAGGATTTTTCAATGACCACTCAAACGATACACGCCAAGTTCATGGGAGAGCACTTTCATTGAACAATACTTTTTCTCATTTCCGAAAATTGGTGCGTAGAACAACCTTCTTCGGACAGTCACTCACCCTGCTTATAGAACTTTGGTTGGCTACTTTTAAGAGTCCCATCCTTGGCGAACTTACTGTACAGCACCGAAAAATCTAAGAGTGATGCGATACCCCCTTTGCTGTGGTGTCTTCCAGGCAAACGAAAGCAGCCGACTGACAAGAAAAAATCCGACCATTCAAACCTAAGTAAAAAAATTCAGTGTGAGGTTCTGTGAGTCCACAATTTCTGTGGGTAGTAAACAAAGATCCTCTATAGCAATTTATTATTTTTTAGGGTTATACATAGTACCAGCATTAACGAAGGTTATTACCAAAACCTCATGAAATAATTGTCGTTCTAAACGTATCGACACAATAAACGCTTGACTTACGACTGTATGATTGCATATAACAGATGAATGGCGCTTTAGGTTTCATTGCCTTGTGTCGACATCGTCGGCGTCGATTTTATGTAGAAACCATGTAAGTTGGTGGATATTGCATGACAAAACCCCCACACCTTAGGTAAATAAGGAGTGTGACTGTTGCAGTGCACAAAAACCAGCAAAATGTTGCATTTTCCATCAACATCATACAAATCCTTTATTGAACTCCTAGCAGTTAACAAAAATATAAAGCCAAAAGGCTGTGGTAATGGTGATATAATACAAACAAGTCAACCAAAACAACGGACATAGTTTACTACAGAATGAATGGTGTATCGGTCCAGGAGAAAATAAGCTAATCCGTCAATACATTCGATTGAGGCGGTTACCTACACCCAAACTAGGACTTAAGAAAAAGCTTTGAAAGTGACTTTGACATCAGGTCCAAGAATAAAAATAGATTTCGTAAATGAAGTTTACATTTTCGAAAAGCTGCTTCGGCTCCGAACGTTTTTAGAGCAACCTTGGTACAGTAAAACAATAGGTGCGAATCTCACTTAGGTCACATACGTGCAAGAGGTCCGAGGCCCAAACATGCCAGTCCGAAAGCAACAGAAAGTGATATACGTTTTGAGGTGTGTAGCTAACGGCATTGGGACTTGCTTTATCTCGCCACTGGTAGCGTTGGGTTTATAGGCTCCTTGTTCATTTTCAGATTCAGTTTGGTGGTTGCGAAAGTGTCGGTGGTCTAACTCAGTCTTATCCTGCGTCGCCGTGTGGTCAGGTATCAGCTATTCTGTGGCAGTGCCAGGGAACCCCGAATGAACTTGTCCCGGCACAGGCCGTTCCGGGTCTTGGAAGTGCACCAAAGACCCTCACTTGTTACTGTAGCAATATTGTCAAGGGGCCATCACAAATATTTGCCTCCTTGAAAGATGAGTGGAACAACCTAGGGGTTCCAAGCTGGCCTTTTCATGGTCTCTGGTTCTAGTCTGGTCAGGCTGCGATTGCGCTCTTTCGGATGCGAGAACGGAAGAACCATACCGAAATACCATAATATTAGGA